TAATAATAATAAATTACATCCAGTGAAATTAGGAAAAAAAGTTTCTTGTCGCTACGAGACATAACGTGGCCACAAGATAATTTTGAACAGCCTTGTCTCTTTGTGAAAGATACAGACATTGTTACAGTCAGATTAAATACATTGTTTTTGTGTTTATCTGTTCAAAGCTTCTCCACACTTATTTGGTGTATGTTTAATCTAAACTGCTCATCTTTTGATTTATTGTGTTCCTGAATGTAACTCTGACTCCTGTCAGAGCAAAGGCACAGTGCGAGAGGAGCTTGTTCTGTGTTGTGCTTCAAAAAAAAAAAAAAAAAAGAAAAAAGAAAAAAAAGAAAAAGAAAACTATTTGAACAAAAACACCTCCAGTCATCATCCATCGTCAACCACAAGTGACTGAATGTCATTCCTTCCTATATATACAGTATATATAATAAAATCAAATTACACTAAATGCTCAGCTTCAGCTTTTCTCAGCAAACATTTGTGTATTTGAGTTTTGTCAGAGTGGTGCAGGAAGGAGGACTCAGGAAGCAAAAGAAGTCWGAAGGAACGGCGCAGCCTAGGCTCACCACCTCACAACCCAGGGATGGAAATGGTCCCACAAAGCAAGGGACAACCACAAGAGACTAATAAATGCTAAGAGCTAATCAACATAACAGAGAACATGAGGCTCGCAACCTGGAGTGGAGAGGAAACAGGCTGAGGAGCACCTGGAAAATAAGGTAGGAAACAAAACCTCACATTAGGACACATGACTTGTTTGTACATTCTTCTCTTCGTCTTTATTTTCATGGACTATGTCATTTTTCACTTCAATTTTAAGGTCCTTTAAAACTCCCCAAGCGAACAGTGCTGTAGAGTGCAATACAATAAAACAAAAATACAACTGATTCAATAACACTAAGAATGATAAAACATAATCAAACAAGAATAACACAAAACCATAAAAATCAACACTTAAGAAAGAAGACCAGGACCAGACGAGCTGCTGTATGAAGCAGTCTATTTTGCCTATTCTGCATTCTCCTAAACCAGGGGTCTGCAACCTGCAGCTCTGGGGCCACATGTGACTCTTTGGTCCCTCTGCAGTGGCTCTTTGAACATTTGACCAAACAAAACAGATTTTTTTGTTTGTTTTGTTTTTTATTCTCACAAGACTAATAAATTGTATGTACATATGTGATCAGTACTACTAATATAAAAAGTAAAACATGTTAGCTCGTGCTAGCCTGTTGTCTACCTAAATAATCCAAATTTTTTCTATGATTTTTCTCTCAAATCCATCAGGGTTATCTTAAAACACCTTTAGGACTACATAACAATAAGAATTAGGGGCAACAAATGTCTGACTAATTCAGATGTATTAGTTTTTATGAAATTCTGTATAGACTATAGCCAGCATTTTTCATGTCATATGTTTTTTTCTTCAGTCCTGATGTGTAAAAAAATAAAATAAAATTCACAATATAATTTTTAAGTTTATGTCACCTCCACTGGCCATAAAGGTTCACGAATAAGTCTCGAAAAAGGCTCACGAACCACCAGTTGATAATCACAGTTGTAGCTTCTTTTGCGGCTCTGGGCACATTTTATGAGTGAGCCGAGGAGCAGAAATGGCTCTTTTAATTGTAAAGGTTGCAGACCCCTGTCCTAAACAAACACGCCCACACTCAAGAAACAACACTGAAGATAAAAAAACTAAAGCACAGATCCTCACAACCACACATCAATGTTTTACRCAACAACTCAGTTGATTCTAGAATTGAACGACTTTTTWAAAGTTTTGTAGATCTGTCCAGACCCTGAAAATGTCTCAACTGATCCAGTCTGTAGGTATATCTAACCTACAGACTGTCTCAGCTGATCCAGTCTGTAGGTTAGACATACTGTATCTATGGTCAAAGTGGCAGCGAKGGTCAAAACATATCAACGTGTGGTCAGAGACACACAGCTGATGTGTGAATGCTCYGGTCTGTCTGCGAGCACAAAGCCTGACTCATGAGATAACCGGTCACCTGTCTCACATTTAACTCAGTTTTCAGTCCTCTCTGATTTACCCTTCTGCCAGCTGAGCAACTCTTAACTAAAYTATTTCAGGCACACATTTCAAGAGAGATGGTCCGCTGTGTGTTTAGAGTGGCTTTTTAATAATTACAGGTCGAAAAGAAAATAACAGAGAATTTGAAATCCACTTTTCAGTTAATGGGATTTTATCTTCTACTGAAGGTAAACAGTGAGCAATCAATATGAATATTACAAAAAAAACAGTTTTAAAATGGAAAAAAACCTTAAATGTCTGAAATTACTGGTTTGAATCAACACATCTGGAGAATAATATAGCTCTGTTTACACAATTTTAGATGAACTGAAACTATTTTACAATAAAATTTAATAAAAGATGGAAATTCTCAAATATTAGTCATTTCTGTATGAGATTAAAATCCATTTTCTAATATAAAAAAACAATAAAGGCATAAAGATCAAATATCTCATAAAAGCAACACAGGAATGATCAGAATATCATTTCCTTGTATGTGTAAATACCAGGTCCTGACATTCTGATGATTTGACAGATATACGTGGGGCTGAAATCTTTGTTTCTGTTACATGTCGTCAGCGTGTGGTCGGAGTCTGGCATGGCGATGGGGATTCAGAGTCATGGTAGCTATGTAGCCTGTTATTGGGTCTACATGGAAATGGCTGATTCCGTCCTCCTGGCTGCTGTTCAGAGACACGGGCTCCAAGCTGCTCTGTTCTTCATTTGCTGCCAGCTCGCCCATCAGGGCAGCGAGGTCTTCTAACACCTGCTCTTTGGGGAAATGCTGGTGCAGAGGCTCTGATTTGTCCTTGGTGTAGAATGAYGAGTCAACGACATGCAGCACGCGGGAAGCCTGGAGGTTCTGCAGGGACCGTGACTGGACTGAAGGAAAGAGAGACACAGTAAATAAGGTTAAGCCTTCTGGGCTCTCGGTTCATTATTCCACCTCTCTGAGCTCTGCTGGATGTGTGTGTGTTTGTCTGTGTGTGTCTGTGTGTGTGTGTGTATGTGTGGGTGTTTGCTTGGATGTTTTCTGTGCACAGACAATTTAAGCCCTAAGACATCAAAGACTTTAAAACATCTTAAACCTGCAACATGACCTCTCTCAAACACATTCTGCACCCCCATTCCTTAAAAGCAGAAACAATTAAGACAGAAGATCACCACTAATCAACTTGAATTCTTTCAGAAGTCAAAACCTTTTCCAGTTTGAAGCATCAGAGACTTGGTGATCTCCGAACAATGACAACGGGTCATTTCCACAACTAGCGTACAATAGACCATTTCCTAAGTACAAGTCTGCATGTGCAAAGCTGAACTTAACTCTACGGTAGGGCTATTCAACTAAATCACTCCAGGGGCCACAGTTACTGCAGACCAACAGCTGAGGGGTGGAACATCCGGCAATTAAAGTCATTATGTAAATAAACCAAGTATTGCAAATATCTGTTACCTTTGATATAGGTTTTTTATACATTTAATCATGAATACAACTTACAGAACCTAAAGAAATAGTAATAATTTAACAATATTACAAACAAAAATAACACATTATGCTTCTTATTTACCACAAATAATATTTTGACATCTCTGTCTTGCCAAATTTTTAAACCAATTTTATTTTCATTTTCATAGTTTTGTCTTTAACTGCTTGTAAGTTTAACTATCTTGAGTGTTCACAGACAAGGTTTTTACCAGCTTGTAGCCAAGATTCGGACGTTTCTTTAGATACCAAACATGTCTATGTTTAACTAAAAGAACTTAGAGTAATTAAAGTAGAAAACCAGGGGTTTGGGCTTAAGAGATGAATGAACCAATTGGCGGGCAGAACTTTGGTTACTCGCGGGCCAGATGTGGCCTGCGGGCCGCCAGTTGAATAGCCCTGCTCTATGGGGTCACAGGTCCCATGGGATAAACGCTGAGGTTTCTGTGGCAACGCCATTGGAATTTAACAAGTTGAAGAAGCTCAAAACGCAGACTGACAACTTGARGAAATTTATGAAATATGATGATCTACCTGCTAGGCCTCCACAGGTGCCTTTGTGCAAGGTACACTCTCCTGAACAGCTATGGGCTTACACGGGTCATCAGCTTGGTACCATCAATCACTTCTTATGTTTTGCTCTGTTAACCCCAGTACATCTCATGGTGGTGAAGCGATGGCAGGGGTCTCTCCCTGTCACCCACTGCTGATGCCCTAGGTGTTATTTACCCCTCAACTCTCGTCTTTCCTTTTCAGCCACGGCCAAAATCTGCCCTTCTCTGCCTCTTCTRCCAGATTTCTTCCAAACACCCTGCTYCTGTGCATCCTAAGTAGCAGACGTACATTTGAGGGCCTGACGAAAACCCTACATCTCATTTCGGCGGGGTACATGATGGCTTTCCACCCAGCTTCCCTACAGTCTTCTGCCAGGTCTGCATGGCAACCTCAGCATTCGTTTGTTAGGGTTAGTGTCCGCTTCGAGCAATTGTAACTATTTGTAAATATGAAATGTTCGATTTCCTCTACTTCTCAATTTCACTTACATTTTTCCTAACTGAGGATGCTCAAATGGTCCTTTTATGCAAATTCTTTATTGTTTTATATGTTCACTTTACTTTTTCCACTTTTGTGATTTTGTTTTTCCAGTGCGTTAATCTCAGCCTTTAAAAAGCATCTTACTGGACCACTGGGATGAAATCTGCATGTTTTTCCATTGCGGTCTCACTCAATTGTGAACATCAACCTTGGCCTGTTGATGTGTGCACTGTTAGATAAACCGAATTCTTGACCATGCACAATATTTTATTGCCCACTTTCACCCGCATTATCCCCCTCTGCCTGATTTATAACAACCTTGACAGCCGCCCCCACGTTTAGAAATTAATTTACTGGAGTACATTTCTGAAATCAAGATAGGCAAATTTTGACCAGTTTTTCAGTAATTATTGCTAATCATCAGTGTTGTTTATAGTCCTAGACTTTCAGGATTGTAGCCTCAGATGTTTTCTGTCAAAGTAGAGCTTCAGGTCCAGGTGTTACATTACAGCAGCTTGAGACAGGCTGGAAGCTCTTGTCACAAAGTTCAGTGGGGAGTGAGACCTCCTCAACAACTAGTTATTTTGAAAAAAAATTTGGACACTTGTTTTGAACATGTTCAAAACTCAAGTGACAAATTTTCAAATCTCGGCAACTCAAGCGAGGAAAAGGAGAACCCTCGAGAATGTTTTGAGATTCCACAAAACACCCAGTGAGAGACAATCTTTACTCACAGGAATAACTAGAGGTTTCATTCATCTGAATGTTTTAAATCTTAGACATGCTGCCAGTTCCATCCACACATTTGTTACACACACTGATATCTCAATGTTAATAGGATTGTAGCCCAGCATAGTTCACGATGAGTAAATGGCTAAAATACGGTGACTTTTCTTACTTTAACAAGAAGAATACAGAATAACTCAGTCCATGGCAAATTCTAAACAAGGTTGCAATAAAAATGTATTTTCTGGTTTTTAATCATTTCAGTATTTCAGACAAATGTACCTGACATAATAATATAGTGCTTTCTAATTTTTTTAAATTTTTTAATCAACAGCAGAAACTGAAACATAAGAGACAACCCTGAGGCTCTGTGGGTGAAATCCTTTCAGCACTGGCTGAGCCTGCAGTCCTGTTTTCTGCTATGACAAAGAGGTGACGGATTACTCAGCTGGCAGTCTCTGTGAAGGTTACTCACTTCTGACTGGACCGAAGTCTCCTTGGCTGACCTGAGTGTTGGAGAAAGGCTCCAGGCTGGAAAACAGGATCAGAGAGAAGGACAGCACGAGCACCTAGAGAATCAAATCAAAGGAACACAGAGTGTGACAAAAAGCTAAAAAATAAATTAAAAAAAGATAACCCTGATGTTAAAATTAAAATCATGGAGGGATTCTGTCCTCGTGTTTATTGTGAACATTTATAGATTCTCAGCAGTTAATCCAGCCTGTTGCTGTTTCGCTGTTTGATGTTCAGGTGGACTTGTTGAATAAAGAACAGCTGTACCAGCACACATGTTCCAGTCTGAGCTGGCTTGTTGGATGAATTCATGACCATAGCTTGCAGCCTGCGTAGCTGCTCCATTAATGACCTGCAGAGAAAGGAAGAAAAATCAAGAGAAAGACAGTTTTCAGAGGGGGAAAATGTGGGTTTAAAGAATGAAAAGCAAAACAGCAAAAGCCATTTCTGACACCACAATTACCAGGGTATTAAAGAGGAAGGACTGGTTAGAAATGAAACAGACAAAGAACTCACATGTTGCATTTCTCCAGCTGGGATACTTTTCTCTGAAGCTCCTGGTTGTGGGTATTACAGGCAATCATTCTACAAGAAAACACAGCAGAGGAAGAAGGTGAAACTTTATTTGATTTACAGATCTCATTCAAACCCTGCAAATTTTTTTTTTTACTAAAATAATGTTTTAAACCCATTAAGTTCAAAAGGAAGATAATGGTGATTTTTTCTGATTTATTTACAGACTGCAATCAATGCCCAGCACTTAAATCTAAAAATATAAACTATTACATCTAATATAAAATGTAGTGTATATAAATGATGGCAAGTTTACATTTCCTTGAGCTTTTAAGCAGAAATCTGTGAACTGTTTGAACTAAACAGAACTACTATTACTATTCAAAACACACTTTTCTGTTTGTCAATGCAAAACTTAAATTTTTTTTTCAAGTTGAAACTGCTTTAAAGTGCCTATGACATCACATTTTTGTAATAAATATAATATAAATATAATACATTTTTTAGAAAGATAAAAATCAAACATATTGAAGAAAAAAAAACAGCTGAGATGAACAGTTGAGATATTTGAATGTGAAGTAACAGGAAGTGATATCAAAGGGGAATGTTTGAATCTGAACAGAGCAAAGCTGCAATGCTAACAACCCAGACTGTAGAGAAGAATCTGATGTTTCTTTACATTATTTTTAGTTGCTATCAAAGAGAGATGAAGAAAAGTTAAAGTTTAAATAATTTTGTTTTAGTAAACAGCGAGTTTATTTTATTAATGAGTTGCCCTTTGATGTCACTTCCTGTTTCACTATGGCTGAATCGAGTTAAAAAAACTATGCTGGTTATGTGACAAAATGGATAGAGTTGTGTATTTGATCAAGTTTCTTAAATGTAAAGATGTTTTCTTTGACACCATTAGTATTTAAAAGATAAGCGTGCCACAAACACTTTAAGATATTTAACCACAATTTACTAAATACATTAATTATTATCAACATAATATAAAACTTATGATGAGCAGGCATTTTTTTTGAAAGACAGGAGGTTAAAATGGACACATGTAGCTAATGTTGGGATAAAGTTAGCCATTTAAAGGGACCCCTGATTAGTTGTAACATTAGACTTTATTTGATAAACATATATTTTGACTGTAAACTAAAGACTGTAAAAATACTGTAGGATGTTCAGTTTTTATCATTTTTAAACTAAAAGTTTAAAAATATATTGCAAGGACGGGGCCATTATATTTACATGCAAAGCATTCTGGGTAAATGATGACATCAACTAGGTCATCGGTGTGAGGCTG